TCCCCTCCCCCACAGCGCGAATGGGGGCGGAGCTTCTCCAGGGAGGACCAATCCCAGCTGAGCTCCCAGTAAGTGACTGGTTTGTACTGGTTTATACTGGTTTATACTGGTTTATACTGGTTTTTAATGGTTTATACTGGTTTGGAGTGGTTTGGACTGGTTTATAGTGGGTTATACTGGTTTGGAGTGGTTTAAAGTGGTTTATATTGGTTTATACTGGTCCATACTGGGTTAAACTGGTTTATACTGGTTTATACTGGTCTATACGGGTTTCAACTGGTTTGGACTGGTTTAGACTGGGTTATATTGGTTTATACTGGTTTATACTGGTTTGGACTGGTTTATACTGGTCCATACTGGTTTATACTGGTCCATACTGGTTTATACTGGTTTATACTGGTTTATACTGGTCCATACTGGTCCATACTGGTCCATACTGGTTTATACTGGTTTATACTGGTTTATACTGGTTTATACTGGTCCATACTGGTTTATACTGGTCTATACTGGTTTATACTGGTCCATACCGGTCCATACTGGTCCATACTGGTCCATACTGGTTTATACTGGTCCATACTGGTTTATACTGGTTTATACTGGTCCATACTGGTCCATACTGGTCCATACTGGTCCATACTGGTTTGTTCTGGTTCCAGGTTCCTGCCCAATCACGAGGCCTCTCTCCAGCCCCACCCCCAGAAAGTTTTCTGTGGGATTTTCTCCAAATGCGGCCGAAAATTCCTGACGGCCTGCCAAGGTCAGCCCCAAAAATTCCCAAAAAAATCCCAAAAAAATTCCCAAAAATTCCCCAAAAATTCTCAAAAAATTCCCCAAAAAATTCCCCAAAAATTCCCAAAAAATTTCCCAAAAAATTCCCAAAAAATTCCCAAAAAATTCCCAAAAAATTCCCAAAAAATTCCCCAAAAATTCAACCTAAAATTTCCCCCCAAAACATCCCCAAAATTCCCAAAAATTTTATATTATTTCATTTTATTTTATTTTATTTTATTTTATTTTATTTTTTAAATTTTTATTTTATTTTATTTTATTTTATTTTTATTTTATTTTATTTTATTTCATTTTTTAATTTAATTTTTGTTTTACTTTATTTTATTTTACTCCATTTTATTTTATTTTATTTTATTTTATTTTGTTTCATTTTAATTTTATTTCATTTTATTTTATTTTGTTGCATTTTATTTTATTTTATTTTATTTTACTCCATTTATTTTATTTTATTTTATTTTTATTTTATTTTATTTCACTTTATTTTATTTTGTTTTGTTTTATTTTATTTTATATTTATTTTATTTCCTTTCATTTCATTTCATTTTTTAAATTTAATTTACTTTAATTCAATTTAATTCAATTCAATTTAATTTAGTTTAGTTTAATTTAATTTAATTCAATTTAATTTAATTTAATTTAATTCAATTCAATTCAGTTCAATTTAATTTAATTTAATTCAATTCAATTTAATTCAATTTAATTTAATTTAATTTAATTCAATTTAATTTAATTTAATTTAATTCAATTTAATTCAATTCAATTTAATTCAATTCAATTCAATTCAATTCAATTCCATTTAATTCAATTTACTTTAATTTAATTCAATTTAATCTAATTCAATTCAATTCAATTTAATTTACTTTAATTTATCATTAATTAATTAAATTGCAGACCACTCGCTGCGTTTGTTCTCGGTGCGCCCGGGGGGGCTGCGGCTCCTCCGAGCCACCAGGGGGCGCCAGGTGGGCTGGAGCATCCTGGACGTGGCCCTGAGCCCCGACGGCCACCAGGCCCTCTACTGCTCCTGGTCCAGTTACGGTACTGGGAGGGACTGGGAGCGAACTGGGAGCGAACTGGGACAAACTGGGAGGGACTGGGAGGGATTTAAAGGGGAAAAAATGGGGAAAAAATGGCGGAAAATGGAGGAAAATGGCGGTTTGGGGTTACTGGTTTGGACTGGGGGGGACTGGGATCAAACTGGGAGGGACTGGGGGGAACTGGGATCAAACTGGGATCGAACTGGGAGGGACTGGGAGGGATTTAAAGGGGATTAAATGGGAAAAAATGGGGAAAAAATGGCGGAAAATGGAGGAAAATGGCGGTTTGGGGTCACTGGTTTGGACTGGGAGGGACTGGGATCAAACTGGGATCGAACTGGGAGGGACTGGGAGGGATTTAAAGGGGAAAAAATGGGAAAAAATTGGGTAAAAATGGCGGAAAATGGAGGAAAATGGCGGTTTGGGGTCACTGGTTTGGACTGGGAGGGAACTGGTTTGGACTGGAATCAGACTGGGAAGGACTGGGACACACTGGGAGGGACTGGGATCGAACTGGGAGGGACTGGGAGGGATTTAAAGGGGAAAAAATGGAAAAAAATTGGGTAAAAATGGCGGAAAATGGCGGTTTGGGGTCACTGGTTTGGACTGGGAGGGACTGGGAGCGAACTGGGACAAACTGGGATCGAACTGGGACAAACTGGGAGGGGCTTAAATGGGAAAAAATGGAAAAAATTGGGTAAAAATGGGAAAAAAATGGCGGAAAATGG